GGCAGCAGTTCGGCACGCGACTTCAATTCAGTTCATCGTATCACCCCGAAACCGACGGACAGACAGAACGGACAAACCAGACTATGGAGCAACTCATTCGAGCCACGTGTGACGATCCAAACACGTGGGAGCAGCAGCTGCCTCTCATCGAGTTCGCATACAACAACGCGCCATCTGCCGCGACCCAACAGTCGCCATTCTACTTGAATTACGGACAGAACCCAACAGTACCCATGACACCAAACCCCGACAATCCCGTTCCACGCGCACAACAGTTCGCCGAGATTTTGCAAGCAGCATGGACCAGGGCAGCAGAAGCAATTAAAAAATCAAATATCATCGCTAAACGCAACGCCGATCGCCACCGCAGACCCGTCACTTATCAGCCCGACGACCTCGTTTTACTCGACACTCAGAACCTCCGCCTGCCCATCACTCCCAAACTCCGCCCTCGATACTGTGGGCCATTTCGAATCAGTCACATGATCACACCTGTCACCGCGCACCTCCTCCTTCCTGCTGACTGGTACGTCAGCCCCTCGTTCCACGTCAGCCTGCTTCGCCCTTACGTACCATCCACCAGCCAACTCCCACGACATCGACCATCCAGCATGTCACGACCACCAACCGAACCAGTCATCACCCCCGACAAAATCTTGAGCCACAGAGTTCGCGACCCTCGAGGGGCCCGAAAAGTTGAGTCTCTGATTCGCTGGAAAGATCGTACACCCACCGAGGACAACTGGGTTCCCCTGGACAGAATTGAAAACCACCCTGTCGTCACCGACTATCTACGCAGCCGAAACTTCAAAGACGTCTACGCGCTTTCGTAAGGAGGACCTTTTAGGAGGGGGGGGGTAGTGTAAGGAAATTCCCTTTTCCTTACTTCGCATCTCTGCTCAACGCGTACATCACTGTAGCACCTCAGTCAGCACCGTTACCACTCGCGACCATCGCATCATTCATCATCCCGCCATTTTCGCACATCGCATCCCGACCTCACGGCTCGGCTGGTAACCCGCGCTCCGGGCCTACGCTTCGACACGTTCCCAACCTCAGTCCCAGGCTCGTCGCGCGACCATTACCGTTACCACTGTAGTTTCGCTATATATTCTTCGCTCATACCTTCGCTCATTGTACTCTTGCTTAGATAGTGCAATTCTCGCTCGTTCACTCAATTGCACTCGTAACACATAACAATAGTTGTTATCGCTACTTGTATCGCTACGAAATCTGCGACCCCGTCGGAGCAATCTGGCCAACAAATCTGACACATCTGATAGCGGCCAGCAAATCAGCCACTAAACGTGTCAGATTTGCAAACACAGCCGTAATTTGTCGACCAAAATTCGACCAATGCGTCGACGTTCGCGAAAACAATTTGACGACCAAATGGTCGACAAATAACCAGCCAAAACAGGTTTTGAAGGATCTGACATACCCTTATCGATTCTAGACTAGAACTACCAGTACCTACCAATCAACCCAACCATGGCTCCCATCCATCACCAACCCCTCACAGCGTGAAGTGCAATGCGTCAATGCGTTACGTAGGAAACAAACGCGCACTCGCAATCTCGCGATCACGCGTCCATTGAATCCCGAAACTGCGATCTCGGAGGTCCTCGAGGGGCCCTGGTTTCCTGGATGCCTCCTAAGCCCTCGTCGTCCTCCTCCCCGTCCTCCTCACCCCTCCCATCGCGCTCCTCCTCCCTTCCTTCGCTTTCGTTTTCCTCCCTCTCCAGCTCCACCGCTTCCGCCTCCTCCGTCACCACCTCGCCCTCGCTTTCATGGCGATCGCTCACGCTCACCGTTCTAAGCGTCGCTGCGTTGGCCGTTTGCCTTCCCTTGCTGCATCGGCGCCGCTCCCAACTAGCGGTAATTTTTTGCTTGAAAATTCTAAAAGCGGTTATGCTCGAATTTCACATTTTCCCTCGTTTCTCTTGACGGTGCCTGACTCACGACTTCATATCCCAAAACCGTACGTCCTGTCACTCTATGTCCTACTCCCATTACCACGCTGCAGATTCCCCGCATTCCAGTTCTTCCTTCTTTTCCCATGTGACATCAGAACAGTGTGATTACTATCTCTTTAATCTCTCCAATGGTTTCCTTCTGCACTCAGTCTGGTGACTTGTCCCTCATTGTACCCCATTGTACTGCAACACTAGCTCCTGGCAGTTTCCATGAAGGCAACTGCATTGCAGCATTAGCACATGCACGCAGACTTTTGAGTTCTTATGACTCACTCTCAGGCCTTAAGCATGCGCAGCAGCTCACTCTCATGCGCAGCAACCCACTAGCATGCGCAGCAACCCACTCTCATGCGCAGCAGCGTGTACAATCAATCCAACCACTGGTCATGCATTGAACCGTTCTGTACCCCTCTGCGCCCTTGTTCTCCAACCTGTATGCATGCAGGAGGAAGTGTCCTTGTTGAAAGCACGTCTGGACGCTCGGGCTTCACATGTTTCAGCAGCTGTTGAAAGGGTGGAGCGATTAATATATGGTATGGTATGGTATGGTATGGTATGGTATGGCATGCGTCATAGAAAGTCACTTGCGTGTGCGTGGATGCGTCACATCACAGATGAATGAATATGCGATGTAGCAAGCACATTTTCCCACATTTTTTTTACAGTTGTGCATCGTTACTACCTTTCTCTTTCTCCGTGGTTTCCTCTTTAACGCACCATTTGCTACTCTGTTGACTCCCTTTAATGACCATTCTTTTCCCATTGCAGGCCCGCCTGTCCACTGCACATTCTAGAAAGAATATCCTAAACTCTCTCTCGCCTTTCGCCATGACCCAACCAAACTATAACTCCACCCTGGCTATTTAGGGGCATCTCAAAGGCTGTCTCGCATGTTCCTTCCGTTTTCTTTCTGACACCTTTGAATCGCAGAGCCACACCCTGGCTTACTCTCGCCTGACTGCCATTCAGATGCAGGTGGTACCAGCAGCACTGGTGGCAGCAGTGCCAGCAAAAGCAGCAGCAGCAGCAGCAGCGACAGTGACAGCAGGTTGAGCAACAGCGGCAGGGGCAAAGGCAGGCATGCTGGTGGCAAGGATAGTGCTGCTGGTGCTGTGGTGGGGAACGTCAATGGTGACAGGAGGTCGCATCTTCCTGGGTGCATACTGCAGAGCGACAGCCGGCAGGCGAGGGACTATGTGGAGGCGGCAGGCTACGACTACTTTGAGAGGAACGGCCGCTCCCTGCCCTTCTGGATGGCCTCCAAGGCTATCAACCAGTCAGTTTTGCTTCTTTTCTCTCAGAGGGTTGGGGGAGAGGGGGAGGAGATTGCAGGAAGGGGGAGGAGGTTGGGGGAAGGGGGAGGGAGGAGGTTGGGGGGGGGGGTTATGATATGTGTTTTCAATTGGTTTAGCCATTTTTTTTAGAGACACTCAGCGCCCATCCAGTATGTCTCATTTGAAAGGAACGAGTCCACCATGCCGTTCTGAATCGCCTCCCTTTTGAGAATTCTCAAAAGTTCTGAATGGCCTCCCAAGGCCATCAGTCGGCGAGTCCCCGTCTCTCCAACCCCTCCCCATGCGCCGATGTGTACCACACTCCCACCAACCGCACGTCCCTCCTCTTTCTCCCGCCCCCTTCCTCCCTCTTCTTACCCCTTCCTCGCTCTCTCTCTCTTTCCCCCGTGCTCCCTTCTCCCTCCTTCTATGGCTGCTAGGCTATACGCCAGCCGTCATGGCTACTCTATGTGAATCAATTCACACAAGCTGTTTAAGACGGCCTAAAAGGCGTCTCAACAATCTTCCTCTCTTCGCCCCGTTCAATGGCTGCCAGGCTGTATGCCAACCGTCATGGCTACCGCTATGTGAATCAGGACACACGGGAATACAACGACACTCGCCACCCATCGTGGCTCAAGGTGTGTGTGAGGTGACTTTTGAGTGGACTCAAAAGTCACCACGAGACTCAAAAGTCACCACGAGACTCAAAAGTCACCACGAGACTCAAAAGTCACCACGAGACTCAAAAGTCACCACGAGACTCAAAAGTCACCCCGAGACTCAAAAGTCACCACGAGACTCGCTACCCATTGCGGCTCATGGTCTGTCTGTGTGAGTGCATGCAGCAGCAGGTGGATGTTTTTCTTTCGTATCTGAGCGTTCGCTCTTATTCATCTTTGCATCACTCTTCTCTGCATGAGTGCCTGTTTCTCTGTCATGAAGGTACAGAGAAGAGCCTATGCATGTTTGCGTTAAACACTACTCTTCAATGCATGTTTGTGTTAAACACTACTCTTCAATGCATGTTTGCGTTAAACACTACTCTTCAATGCATGTTTGCGTTAAACACTACTCTTCAATGCATGTTTGCGTTAAACGCTACTCTTCAATGCATGTTTGCGTTAAACACTACTCTTCAATGCATGTTTGCGTTAAACGCTACTCTTCAATGCATGTTTGCGTTAAACGCTACTCTTCAATGCATGTTTGCGTTAAACGCTACTCTTCAATGCATGTTTCCAGTCGACTCAAAACACGGCTGTTTTTTAGGTCGCTCGTTTCGATCCACGCCGCTCAACCTAGCCCCTCTTTGCTCAAAAGTGACTCAAATATAGCCGACTCGTGAAACCACCAACGCCCCCTTTCCTTCCTGCTCTTTGCCCCCTTTCCTCTCGTGAAACCACAAGCTCTCAGTTGCTGTTCTTCCAGGAACAAGTGCGTTGCTGCTTTGCCTGGGTCAACGTCTATTTCTCAAACCTCACACTCGTGACTCACAGGGTTTGAGAAATAGGCGTTGACCCTATTTCTCTGCGCTGTTGCCTCACGAGTGAGTGGGTCAACGCCTATTTCTCAAACCTCACGCTCGTGCCACTTGCCTCTCACCAGCGTTGCCTCTTTCTGCCTCCCGTTCCTCCCTCCTCCTTACCCTTCTTTCCCCCCCCTCGCCTTCCAGCTGCTGTTCATTCGGGATCAGCTGCGCTGCTGCTGTGCCTGGGCCTTCTATCTCGACTCAGACGCCTATTTCCGAATGGACAACCACCGCCTTCCAATTGAAGCCTGGCTCGCAGGACTGCCTTTCACGGTCAGTACCCTGCCCATCCCCCTGGCAGCGTCAATGCTCACCGACTCTCATGCTGCTGTGCCTGGGCCTTCTATCTCGACTCGGACGCCTACTTCCGAATGGACAACCACCACCTGCCCCATTGAAGCCTGGCTCGCTGCCTTGCCCTTCACGGTCGGTATCTCAACCCAGAGGCTGCCTTCCTCGTCCCTGATTTCTCTGCCATCTTTTCTGCCATCTTCTCTGCCATCTTTTCTGCCATCTTCTCTGCCATCTTCTCTGCCATCTTCTCTGCCCTCTTTGTTGCCTGCTTTTCTGCCCGTTTTACTGCCGGTTTCTCTGCCTGCTCCTCTGGCTGCTTCTCTATCTCTGCCTGATTCTCTACCCGCCTCTTTGCCTGATTCTCTACCCTGCCTGTTTCCCTTTTTCCCTCCCATCTCCCCGCAACTGCCACCTGCACCCCACCAGGGAGCATTCAACTGGATAAGGGATCGCTACGGCATGGAGCTCACCAATCAGACGTGGATGCCGCAGTTCCCCATTGGCCTGCTGGATCCTCCTCCTGCTGACGTGGCAGCCTGCAGCCAATCACCCGCTGCCCCATGTGCAGAGGAGCCCTTGGAGGAGCTGATTGGTCTGTTCGCCCGGAATTCAGGGGAGGAGAATGGCGCCTCGGCTGCTCTGTTCAATGCCTCCTTAGAGTCAATCAATGCGGGGGTTATGCTGCTGAGACGCTCGCCCCTTACCTTCAAGGTGAGTGCCCCGCCCACTCTCTGGTATGCTCATATAGTTGTTCAAGGCTCCCCAGTGATGCTCCCCGGGTGCTCTGTTCAAAGCATCGTTGGAGTCAATCAATGCGGGGGCTATGCTGCTGAGACGCTCGCCCCTTACATTCAAGGTGAGCGCTCCGCCCACTCTCTGGTACGCTCATATAGTTGTTCAAGGCTCCCCAGTGATGCTCCCCGGGTGCTCTGTTCAAAGCATCGTTGGAGTCAATCAATGCGGGGGTTATGCTGCTGAGACGCTCGCCCCTCACTTTCAAGGTGATCGACTGGTGCCCAGTATTGTTTCTTAGGAGCAAAACATACACCAACCCATTCCACTCTGTACAGCGCTTCTCTAGGATTGATCGCGTGTTTGAAGTAGTGTTGTGAGACGCCTCAAAACACTGCTTCAAACACGTGGGTGGGGAGATGATGTCGCCAGAGCGACCCCCTCCTCGCTCTCTCCATGTATGCTTCTCTCATCAGGTGCCTGTCAGGGTCCTTTTCAGGTGTTCCTGTCACGTGCCTGATCGCATAGCATGCATGCCGTTTCGTTGCCTCCCCTTGCAGAAAAGAACTCTCTGGTGCTCTTACCCTACCCAATGAGTGTTGTTTCTCACCTTGCTACCTGGCAATATGAATCCATAGTTTTCCTTGCCACATTTCTCTTCACATATTCTCCCTTTATCTTCCTTTCCCTTTCACTACCCCCTCCCCCTCCCCTCACCCCCCATTTTTTGACTGTTTCCCCTGCCCTCAGTTTTTGGACACTTGGTATAACGAAGAACCTTCTAACCGCCATTTACAGGAAGCCACGTGGGAGCAAAACCGCCTCAACCGCATTGCACCACTGTTTGCAAAGCACCTGGTGGTCGTGCCGTACCTGGAGCTCACTCGTCCGGAGGGTCGTCAGGTTCGGCATGTGTGGTCGATGGTGGATTGGCATAGGGACGAGGCACTGAGGGCTGCGTTGTTAGGAGCTTTATTGGCAAATGATTTGGCGACTAAAGAGGACGATTGGACACCAAGAGGGGTGGTTGAGAAGTGGGCGCATGATGAAATGGATGCTAGGCAATAGATAACTATATTATATTTTTCTCGTATTGCACCAATAAATAGAGTTCGGTTTTCAAGTCAGGGAGTAAGTCTGTAACGCAGGTTTCACCAATCGTTCATCCAAGTCCACCGGCGAAATTGCGCGACGCGCCGGCGCGCGAACTTCTCTAATCCCATCGACCAACCTCGCACCGCAAGTAGGGCGACCAAACCTCGTCCAAATGGGTCGATCTACATGCGCTTTCACGTTACTTACATGCTGCGAACGAGGGCATGTCGACGTTACAGGTGCCATTTGGTTTTACGGCCAGAATTGCGGGATTGCAGTTTGGGTTTCAATCCTTTCAGCAAAGACAAATTTTGCGACGTGTTACGTCACTTCAGTCTGGTCGCGCAGACAAGGCTTGTCTTATGTTGTTTTTGTTTGGTCTGGTTTTTTAACGGTGTAAAACGAACTAAATTCCGCAGGTAGCCAGGCACACTTTCAATGCATTAGCCCTAAACACCTTGAAAGTTCCCGTGTTTAGGGTTGATCCCTCCCGAATTCCACCACATTCAAAGCATTAACCCTAAACACCATACTTCCCGTGTTTAGGGCTGATGCCTCCCAAATTGCGTTCCTGCCTCTAGGGTTTTTTTTTTTTTTTTTTTTTTCAGGCCCCTGCTTAGATTCAGAGCTCCATATATGTTTCAGAGAATCGCGTTTGACACGCGCAAAAAAAACCTGTGGACAAAAAACCTGACACGCACACGAAACATTTTTGCGCCTTCGTACACAGACAAAATAACCGAATCTTGTAAGGTCATGGCAATGTAGCCACAATTTCGACCTTGTTTTTTACGAAAACACGAACACCACCTGGCAAACATTTTCTTGCGCGAGACTGTGACAGTTAGGAAGACCACCAATTCTTTCACATTAACTTGGTCGTCAATATCATGTAAGCGCGTGTAGGTCGATTCGTTTGCGAGGGGCTTGGTCGTCCTACCTGCGGTGCGAGGCTGGTTGATGGGATTAAGAAAAGCTCGCGCGCCGGCGCGTAGCGTAATTTTGCCAAGTCCACTCCTCATGATTCCGAGCCATGCGATTCGGATTCTTTTCCGCATTCGTCGCGCCATGAATTCTTCATCGGCGAAATCGCGCGCATCGGCGAAAATCGTGTTTGTCTCAATTGAGTCGACCTAAATTGCTCCCCGCTCGCCACGTGGGCGTTTTTCTAAATTGAATGGACCTCCCTTCCCCAAGCCCCCCCAGCCCCCTTTTCCCGCCCTTTCCCCACCGTCATTCGGGCATTCGCGTGAACTTCGGAATTGCCACAAGCAGTCACGAAAAGCAACCAACCAACCCCATGCCACGTGTAATTGAACGTGCAGGCAGCCACATCATTTGTCCCAGCAATTTTTTTGTATTTTTCTGGGCCATGTATTATAACTCGAGAGGCTTATATACAGGTTGATTGTACTGTGTCCTTCGGGATCTGGCCATGTCATTTCCGGCCTTCACGGTTTCATGATCGAAGCATTCGTGATCCTCAACGGTTCATGAACCCTTCCGTTAGCATCATGTTCCTGTGAAGCTTAGGCGAGTCTCCCGTTTTACAATACCGGGTAGACACTCAACGCAGTCATTACTTTAGGCAACTCATATCCGGGCCCGCATTAGTACTCCACTCAATAGTTATAGCTTATCTCTGACAAAACTGGTCACCATGTAGCGTCTAACGCGTGCGTATGGCCTCTAATCCCTTAGCGCAGGCCTTGCGACAGCTTAATGCGGCTCCCGAGTTCAACCCTAGGTACGACAGGCCTAATGATTACGCTCCATTGGAGCTGGGGGGCCTGTACTCTAGCCGTGATAAATGCAAGGAGGCCGTTTATGCGTACGCTCTAGAGCATCGGTTTGGTGTAAAAGTCCTTTTAGTGAAGCATAACTACGCAGTGGTTGGATGCAAGGCTTCATCGGACGGATGGTTACCCGCGTGCCTATGGAGCTGCACATATGGGCAAATCGGCCACGGTGGTTTATGGCGTATTACGCGACTCGTTTCTCCGGAGATGCATACGTGTCCGTTGCATTGGAGGCAGGGTTACGCCGAGGGGTTAGCCAACACTATTCCCATCCTCGCTCGGCGATACGGCAATTTGGTCCGTGCAAATCCTTTCATCTCACCCGTGGAGCTCAAAAGAATGCTCGAGGGTCATGGAAAGGTAGTGATCCACTACTGGCAGGCTTGGCGGCTTCGAGAGTACATCTTAAAGGAGCGATATGGAGATTGGAAGGAGTCCTTTCGCCAGGTTCCGTGGCTTCTCACTCGTTTCACAGTCATCGATCCGGAAGTTCAAGTGCGGTTGGACACATTAGATCGGTGTTTCCACCGATTCTACGTGCGTCCCTCTGCAGCACGGCATGCGTTAAATTATTGCCGCCCGGTTGTTGCGCTCGGCGGTACACATCTCATTAGTGCGCAGAAGGCTGTGCTGCTCATCGCCGTCACCATTGACGGGAACCAGGAGATTTTGTTACTTGCATGGGCCTTGGTGGAGTCGGAGAACAAGGACGCGTGGACCTGGTTTCTGAAGCTGTTCCTTGAGGGGTTCCCGGAGTGGGCGCGTAGGGACGATGCCTCCATCATCAGCGATCGCGATAAGAGGTTGGTGCCGACAGCAAGGGAGGTGATGCCAAGCCACATCCCCCATTATTTTTGTGCCTGGCATCTGGAGCAGAACCTTAAGCGGTTCGGCAAAGCGGCAACAGCGTTCTTCTGGCGCTTGGTGAAGTGTCGGTCTGAAACGAAATGGGTTGCGCTTGTCGGGGCCGCACGACGAGATTTTCCTGACATGGCCGCATATCTGTTCGGGCCTGTCCGGCAGCAGCCACAGCCATAACCCCAGCCGGCTCCTCAGGTCCCCCCTCCTGGAGCCCGGGCAACATTTGAGGGGGCCAGGGATTTCGTGTTCGCGGATGCTCGCGAAGGGAGGAGGGCACAGCGAGGGCAGGAGCGTGGTGGCAACGCGGGAAATGGTGGCGTCGACACCGCGCCCCAACCCGAAGGGAGTGGGTTCTCGGAGGGCAACACGTCCGCGTACAACAGGCGTGGCGGCGGTCTGGCTGGCAGGGGGGGGATGAACGCACCTGGAAGACGGGCCAGAGCGCACGAGGGTATTGGAGTCCCATCAAGGATACCAGACGAAGGGGATGGCGGAGCGGCTGCTTTTGGCATCGGCCGTGGAGGGCGAGGACGAGCTTCATCTGGACGTGGTCGCAGAGGGAGAGGCGGTGGCGTTGCAGGGGCGGGCCTTGGCAGGGGAGGTAGAGGAGTGCCCCCCGCGGGCGATTGCGGAGGGCAGGGGGGTGCCGGATCAGACTTCACGGGGGTTGGTGGTGGAGTACGGGAAGTGCCGCTCGGTGGGGCCGCCGGGGAGCAGGGGGATGCCGGCGCGGGATGGTCCGGCATTGCAGGTGGAGGGAGGGGAGTCCCGCTTGGTGGGGCTCCTGGAGGGCAGGGGGGTGTCGGAGCAGGATGGTCCGGCATTGGAGGTGGAGGGAGGGGAGTCCCGCTTGGTGGGGCTCCTGGAGGGCAGATGGGGGCCGGAGCAGGATGGTCCGGCATTGGAGGTGGAGGGAGGGAAGTCCCACTTGGTGGGACTCCTGGAGGGCAGGGGGGTGCAGGAGCAGGATGGTCCAGCATTGGAGGTGGAGGGAGGGGAGTCCCGCTTGGTGGGGCTCCTGGAGGGCAGGGGGGTGCCGGAGCAGGATGGTCCGGCATTGGAGGTGGAGGGAGGGGAGTCCCGCTTGGTGGGGCTCCTGGAGGGCAGATGGGGGCCGGAGCAGGATGGTCAGGCATTGGAGGTGTAGGGAGAGGAGTCCCGCTTGGTGATGCTTCTGGAGGGCGAGGACGCGCCGAAGCAAGATGGTCAGGCATCGGGAGTGCGGATGGGGGGGAGCCGTTGTTCGGCCCTGGAGCAAGAGATAGTGTATATGCTGCGAGCGGTGAATTGGTAGGGTCTTGGCCCAGTCCTCAGACTGCAGGACCCAGGCGACACCAAAGCGGGCCACGCGGTGATGTTACGTTTGGGGTTGGCCTGGGCGCGAATTTCATGGGTGGGGTGGGGTCCGTTGGAAGGGGGGGCTCACCAGTGCCCTCTGGGGGCGACGTGCAGCGAGCTCCAGCATCTGTGCGTGATAATGGTTTGGCATCATGCTCCACGGGTGATGGGATAGGCGCTCTCACCACTGTGGGGAACCTGGGTGCACGAGCATTTGACGTCAACACGGTCCTGCGACGTGCCCGGGAGTGGTACCGGGCAGAGGACATTGACACGGGGAGGACCACGGGCACTCAGGGATCAGAGATGGGTGGGTTTACTGAGCACTTCCACCCAGCATCGGCTCTTGCTCTGCCATGGCCAGACTGCGGGCAGCGGGAGAACATTCCTGCGCAAGGGCCGGACGAGCCAACATGTGAGGATGATCCGGTGCCAGTGGATGCTAGGGAGGATGGGGATGAGGCGGCCGATGGTGAGGGAGAACCCGGAATACATGTGCGCACCGGGTTCTATCGTAACAGGCGCGGATCATCTTATCGCATAGGGGGAATCATGCTGCTGCACTGGGCCCGTCTTTTTGCGGTGACACTGCGTTTTGGCATCTACACAAGCAACGCCGCCGAGTCCATCAACAGCGCTGTCCGCGGCATCCGAATGCTGCCACCAACATGGCTGTTGGCATCCCTTTGGGATTGGTCTCGCGACAAGTGGTACGAGAGGAAGGAGAAGGCGCGCTGCAGGGATGAGTATCTCATGGCTGCCGCAGCGAAACGACTGGACCAAAAGAAGCAGAGGTGCCAGGGGTATTGGTTCATCGGTGGGGACAACTCTGTGGGAACCATCCAGACCAGGGGGGGGGAAAACGAGTTCCAGTGGCGGAGCTTCAACGTGAACCTCGATGCCCGGACGTGCGAGTGCGGGAACTGGGAGGAGTACCAGTTCCCTTGTGCCCACGCCGTGGCAATGTGCATTCTGAAGCAGCGGAGTGTGGAGATCCTTGTGTCTGAGTACTACACCACTCGCAATCTTCGCCAGACATACAACCGGGATGTGATGGGTACCTGTGTGGACCGGCTGATTATGGAGGCTTCACTGGCAGAAGTGGGCGAGTGCGATGCACCAGCGCTGAATGAGACGAGGGTTGGGAGGCCAGAGAATCACACCCGGTTCGAGGCACCGCCGCACGCTTATCGGTGTGGGCGATGCCGACAGTATGGGCACAACCGCAAAAGGTGCAAGTACAAGTACGGTGGGTACGGTCAGGCGCAGGCTGCGGTGGGGGAGGAGGTGGAGGAGGAGGAGGAGGAGGAGGAGGAGGAGGAGGAGGAGGAGGAGGAGGAGGAGGAGGAGGAGGAGGAGGAGGAGGAGGAGGGGGAGGATGGAACTGGTACAGGAGTGTGAAGCAAGGAAAACAGGAGTGAGAATGACTAAGGAAAGATTGGGTACAAATACAACCCTAGAAACCCTATACCCCAAATGTGCTACCCCACTATAGCCTACAGCAACTATGTCATATAAATCTGACACACCCCCATAGGCAAAGTGGGGGAGAACAAGGGGTCACAAGACCAGTCAAGCAAAGCAAAGCAAGCTGAGGGTGGATCACAAAGTCACCACACAGTCCGAGCACAAGAGTAGGGCAAGAGGCCAGTTCACATGCAGGAGTACAGACATATATAAAAATAGACAAGCAAGAGCAGGCATATATATATGTCACAGTACAAGTGAAGTCAAGAGGAGAGCAAGTGAGGCAAGACAGGCACAAGACCCAGCTGGGTGCAAAAGCGCTGATGGTCACAAGGCGCGAGTGCCTTGGTGAACACATCAGCAGTGTTGGCCTCAGAGGCCACGTACGCAAGTCGCAACTGACCACGCTGCTGCAGCTCACGAGCAAGGAAGTAGCGGAGAGCAATGTGCTTCGTTCTGTGCTCCAAGCGCTGCTCTCGACACAAGGCCAGCATGGCCTTATTGTCTACGTACAGCACTGGAGGAGAACGAGGCGCCTCTCCAAGGTCAGTCAGAAGGTAGGTGAGCCAGCGAAGCTCCTGTGCAGCCATGGCCCCGGCGTAGATCTCAGCCTCACAACTGGAGCCGAGAACCGAAGACGAGCGAGTAGACCGCCACGAGACAGAGCCGGAACCAAGGCTGAAGGTGTAACCCTGTGACGACCGCTGCGTAGCCTGGTCGTCAGCCCAAGAAGCGTCCGCGTGGCCGGTAAGGACCACTGGACTCCGCCCTCCAAGCACTAGCCCCATGCCCGACGTACTGCACAGGTAGCACAATACCCTCTTCGCTGCAGCCATGTGCTCCGGTCTGTGTCTCCCAGGAGCAACATAGCGTGCAAGAATGCTCAGAGGGTATGCAAGGTCAGGTCGTGTGCAGGTCATCAGGTACATGAGGCAGCCAACAAGCTCTGCATACGGACCACTCGACTCTACGGACTCATCCGAAGGCAGAGCTGAGAGTGAGTGGCGAGTAGGCAGAGGAGTGGCCTGAGGCGAGGAGTACGTGAAGCCGAAGCGCTGAAGGACCTGCTGCACCATGTGTGACTGAGTCAAGGTAATGGTGCGGCGTGCTCTGTCCCGAGTGATCTGCAAGCCAAGGTAGCTGCGCAGTTCACCCAGGTCTGTGCACGTGTGTCTCTTCAGCAGCTCGGACTTCACGTAGGCGAGTCCAGCAGTGTCCGCTGTGGCAAAGACCAAGTCGTCGACGTACACGAGGATGTAGAACGGCGGCAGGGAAGTGTCGGTGCGAAGAAACAGCGACGGGTCAGCAGTAGAAGGAGCAAACCCAAGAGCCGCAAGCGTAGTCCTCAGTGTGTCGTGCCACTCACGCGGTGCCTGGCGGAGACCGTAGACTGGCCGTCGGAGGCTCCACTGGGTGCCAGGAGGGAAAGTCCCAGTGAAGCCAGGTGGACGGCGAAGCCAGATCTCCTCATGTAGGCTACCCTGCAAGAACGCAGTGCTGAAGTCGAGAGAGTGAAGCTCATAGTCGCGCTGAGCGGCTATGTGCAGCAGAACCCGAAGAGTAGTCATCTTCGGGGTGGGAGAGAAGGTCTGAAAGTAGTCAACTCCCTGCCGCTGACTGAAGCCACGAGCAACGTACCGTGCCTTGAAGACAGGTGGAGAGCCCGGCGGCCGCTTCACCCGGAAGATCCACATGCCACTGACGATGTTCGCCCCAGGAGGGGGAACCGCATCAACGTAGGTGCCTGTGGACTTCCAGGAAGCCATCTCTGCATCCATAGCTGCCTGCCACTGAGAGGAGTAGGGACCCTCTACGGCCTCCGCGTAAGAACGCGAAGTCGGGATGTCTAGTGCATCCGGGTCTCCCTCAGGGGCAAGCAGTACAGACGCGAGATGAGGTGAAGCAGCCGCTAGACACTGTAACTCCTCCTGCCTGTCCTCTAGGACGTCCGTGCCAAGAGCACACTCACCCCCGACGGACGGAGGACAGACAGACGCAGACTCAGCAACAAGACTAGCAGCGTAGTCGAGACGACAGCGAGCAGCAAAGTCGACGAGCTCAGCGACAAGGGCAGACGCAGCAGTGGACTCAAAGGAGGGGTCAGTGACGACAGTAGCAAGGAGACGCGTGACAGTAGGACTGGCAGCACGAAGAGTGTCCGACTCAGGGTCGGCAAGCGCAGGAAGAGAGGACTCAGGAGGAGAAGGCAAAGGGGCACGCAGAGGAGCAGTGGACGGACGCAAAGACATCCGGTGCGTGCCAGGGACAGGAGGAGGACGCTGACGCGAATTGCGACCACTAGCGCGAGCAGCACGAACAGGCGACGCGGGACGAGACGCAGGCTCACGACGCTCAGCAAGACCTCTAGTAGGACCAGTGTAAGGAGAGGGAGCAGGCAGTGGAGAGGAAGGCTCCAGCAGGGACTACGACTGGACAGGCGGTGGACCCTCTACTGGAGGAGAAAGACCAAGAACCTGCTGCAGTAGCGGAACGAAGTACGGCCGAGGCCGCGCGGCAGCTCCAGACTCAGCAGGGACAGCACCAGCACCCTCAGCGACAGCACCAGCGCCACCCACACCTCCAGCGGCAGGACCAACAGTAGTAGGCTCAGCACCGACGCCCTCAGCAGCTCCAGCTCCAGGAGGACCTGCAGGTCCAGCAGCTCCGGGACCGGCAGCACCCGCACCCTCGACGGTCGAAGAAGCTCCAGCTCCAGCTCCAGCAGCACCTCCAGACTCAGCAGCACGCCTCCAGCGGCGAGCGAACAACTCGCGCAGCTCCTGTGGAGAGAGGGGCTCCCGGCGAGACGCAGCAGCAGTAGAAACCCCAGGCTCAGCAGCTCCAGACGCAGCACCCCCAGGCTCAGCAGCTCCCAGCTCAGCACCCCCAGGCTCAGCAGCTCCCGACCCAGCACCCCCAGACCCAGCACCTCCAGGCACAGCACCCCCCGGCTCAGCACCCCCAGGCTCCGCACCTCCAGGCTCCGCAGCAGCACCCCCAGGCTCAGCACCCCCGCGCACAGCACCCCCAGAGTCAGCACCCCCAGGCTCAGCACCCGCAGCAGCACCAGAGTCACCAGTAACCTCGACCGGGTCAACGGCTTCTACCTGGGACACACGTGAGGGGGCAGGAACCTGAGGGGGGAGGGGGTCTACCGGGGGGGGAACCGGCACAAGGAAGTCCGGGGGAGGGGGGAGGGAAGGAGTGTGGTAGGGGAAGAGACGGTAGAAGGGGACTGACTCGTCGAACGTGACGTCCTGGGAGGACAGAACACGACGAGAGGAGGGGTGGTAAAACTGCCACCCTGGGGCGTCAGTGGGGAAGCCAAGGAAGACACAGGGAGCAGCACGAGGGGACAGCTTGTCCGCAGACAAGTCGCGGACAAACGCCCGAGATCCCCAGACACGGAACACAGACGCATCGCCAACCTTCCCCGTCCACAGCAAGGCTGGGGACATCGCAGGCCGAGAGACCCGGGGGTGAAGGTTGAGCTGATGCGCCGCGTACCTCACTGCAAACGGCCACAGAAAATGGGGGGCAGCCGCATGCATCATGGACGTACGAGCGACATCCATGACCATGCCAATGCGGCGCTCAGCAATCCCATTTTGCTGTGGTGAGTCCGGAAGCGTGAAGGTCTGGCGGATCCCCCGTGCACGACAGTAGTCTCGCAGAAGGCGAGAAGAGAACTCTCCGCCTCTGTCCGAGTGCAGACGCAGAACGAGAAAGTCTGAGCCGAAGCTCCTCCTGAGCTGGAGACGAGCCTCGCGGATCCAGTCGATCAGCACCTCAGTGACCGCACCCTTGCTGCGCAAGGGGAGGACTGTGGTGTAACGCGAGTAGTCGTCAACCACCAACAGGAAGTAGCGCTCGTAACCCTGCCCACGGACGGGGGCTGGGCCCCACACATCCATGTGAAGCGTCTGCAGGGGAGCCTCTGTCGGGGGGAACTGGGAGGAGTAAGGAGTAGCCCGGAGGCGACCCTCGACACAGGGGACACAGGAAGGTCCTGGCCCGGAGGGGAGAGGAGGGAGAGACTGGGGAAGACCAGAGACAAGGACACGGGAAGCCATGCTCCGAAGACGGGGCAAGGAGGGGTGGCCAAGACGGTGGTGCCACAGGAGAGTCTCGTGAGACAGGAGGCGACAAGAACAGGGGGCAGACTCAGGACCTGACCGGGACGCAGCAGCAAGTACCTGACCCGACGCAGCCACCTGACCAGACGCAGGGACAGGAGGAGACTCAACGGTCAGGGTGTAGAGACTCAACCCCGGCCGACGCGAGAACGTGGCCAGGTGTCGGCCTGTGCGTGCGTCCGTGCAGTGGGTCACCCGCTGACTCGCAGGAGTGAACTGGTGAACACCCACATCCTGCAGGTCCGCTCCACTCACCAAGTTCGTAGAGAACGAGGGAAGGTACAGACCCGACAGGGTGCCCGAAGGGGCAGCCGGACACGGGAGGACAGTGGAGAAGTGAGACAGGACAGGACCCCCAGAGGGGTCAGCAAGGGAGACTGCAACCGGCCGGCCGAGCGACGTAAGGGTAGTGCGGTCTCGAAAGAAGGAGCGAGAAGCTCCGGAGTCAAGTGTGAAAGTGCGGGAGGACGAGGACGACTCAGTACCTGAGAGCGCAGTCTCACCAGTACCTGAGAGCGCAGACGCACCGGCACCTAGAGCAGCAGCCTCACAAGCACCTAGCGCAGCAGTACCAATGCCCGGGTCGGGCTGGAAACAGCGGTAACCCTCATTCTCCTCACTATAATCCACAACATACATAGCAGTAAGGATAGCATCAAAATCAAGATCAAAGATCGCTACACCAGCCCTGAGAAGCTCATCCCAGCGAGGGATCTCACTAGCCCCAGGGAACTGCTGATGCCAGGCGTCCGTCAGGCGGCCAAAGCAGCGCTGGGTGGCGTGGGCACCCCCACACTGCTCACCCGCGCGGTCGCCGGAACGAAGAACGTAGGTGCAGGGACCAGTACCCCCACCCCTCTGACGCCCAGCGTACCACTCACGAAGCTGCTGAGGCAAAGGGATGTCCCGAGAGCGCTGCTGCTGCTGCCGCTGCGAGCGCTGGCCACCACCACCGCCGCTACGCTGCTGGGTACCACCCCGACCAGCTCCACCCCCTCCACCACCACTGCCTCCTCCGCTGCCGCCTCCACCGCCTCCACCTCCACCGCCTCCACCTCCGCCGCTGCCTCCACCACCACCGCTGGCACCACCACCACCGTCTCCGCCGCTGCTGCCACCACCACCACCACCCCCGCCACTAGTCCCGCCGCCACCCCCACTCCCTCCGCCGCCACCGCCGCCACCGCCACCGCCCCCTCCAGCTCCACCCGCGCCCTTGCCCCCCTTGCCCTTGTTGGAGCGACGTCTCCCACTAGGGGCAGACGCCGCGCCGACCGACTCAAGACCAAGCAGGTCGGCAGCAGCAGCAGAGGCAACAGAGGGCAGCAAGGGGGAAGGAGAGCACCCCTCAAAGATGGGGGTGCGAGGGTCACCACGAGAAGCACCTACAGCGACTATGCTCTTCTCCGCTGCAAGGAGGGCCTTCTCGAGGAGGTCGACGGTGAGGGTGGTGGGACAGACTGCAAGAAAGTGGTCCCTGACGACGCGAAGGGAGTCAGGGAGGCGTGCGACTACGTAGTAGAGAGCGATGTACATGGGGGGTGGGTTCTTAGCGCAGAACTCAGCAGGAAGGGCGGCGCGGTAGCGAGTGTCACTAGTGCGGAGGTGCGTAATGAGGTCAGCGACAGTGGCAAAGGCAGAGAGGTCAGGAAAGAGGTAGGGAAGCATGAGACGGCTCAGTGCAGCAGTGGCAGGGGAGGAGTAGCGCGCAGCTACAGCGTCGTACAAGGTCTGAGCACTCTTGTACTGACTAAAGTGCGCACGCTCAGAGGTAGGGAGGTGGCGACGCACAGCAAGACGTGCAGCAGCATCGTGGGTGGCCCACTGAGAGCGGACAGTGGGATCAGCATCAGCAGCAGGAGCAGGAGAGGCGCCAGAGGTGAGGTCAAAGAGAGAAAGGCCGTCAGCCCTGTCGCACTATAAGAACAGCTGCAGGTCGTCTAACCAGACCTCAAAATCAATGGCGCGACCCTCAGCGTCAAAAGCTAGGACACTAGGGGTAGCCATGGCGACGACAGCGACGCAGTGCAAGCAGCAGGGAAAGAGCTCGCAGTGTCAGTGGGACTGTGCTCACCAGGCAGGGCAGGTCATGTAGGTATGCAGGAAGGCTGCTCAGCGACCTGGCGGCTCGGGTGCTGGGCGGCTCGGCTGCTGGGCGGCTCGGGCGCAGGGCGGCTCGGCTCCCGGGCGGCTCGGGTGCAGGGCGGCTCGGCTCCCAGGCGGCTCGGCGTCGGGCGGCTTGGCTCACGGGCGGTTCGGCTGCTGGGGCGACTCGGCCAGGAGATGCAGGGGCGGGGCCGTCAGGTGCAGCGGCGGGTTGACCGGTGCAGTGGCGGGCCGGCAGGTGCAGCGGCGGGCCGGCAGGTGCAGCGGCGGGCCGGCAGGTGCAGCGGCGGGCCGGCAGGTGCAGGCGGTGGGCCGTAGGGCGCAGTGGCGGGCCGGCAGGTGCAGCGGAGAGGCCGGCAGGTGCAGCGGCGAGGCCGGCAGGTGCAGCGGCGAGGCCGTCAGAGGCGGCGGGCCGCTGGGTGCAGCGGCTGGCCGGCAGGTGCCGTGGCGGGCCGGTAGGAGCAGCGGCGGGCCGGGAGGGGAGGCGGCGGAGCCGCGTCAGGGGAGGCGGCAGGGCCGCGTCAGAGGAGGTGGCGGAGCCGCGTCAGGGGAGGCGGCGGTGCCGCGTCAGGGGAGGCGGCAGGGCCGCGTCAGGGGAGGCGGCGGGGCCGCGCCAAACAGGCGGCGGGGCCGCGTCAGGGGAGGCGGCGAAGCCGCGTCAGGGGAGGCGGCGGGGCCGCGTCAGTGGAGGCGGCGGAGCCGCGTCAGGGGAGGCGGCGGGGCCGCGTCAGGGGAGGCGGCGGGGCCGCGTCAAACAGGCGGCGGGGCCGCGATCAGGAGAGGTGGCGGGGCCGCGTCTGAGGGACAGCGGGGCCGCGAGGGAAAAGGCGACCCGAGGGGGTCGCTAAAAAAGGCGCGCCTCCGGGCGCGCTTCGGTGGGCCCTAAAAAAAACGGTCCTAAGGCAGGACCCGCTCTGTACCATGTGAAGCAAGGAAAACAGGAATGAGAATGACTAAGGAAAGATTGGGTACAAATACAACCCTAGAAACCCTGTACCCCAAATGTGCTACCCCACTATAGCCTACAGCAACTATGTCATATAAATCTGACAAGGAGAGCATGGAGGGGGGCATCAGGCTGCCCCTGAATGAATGGCGAGTAAAACAGGCTTTCCCATGCGAGTATTGGGCCTTGTTTTGTGTCCTTGGATCCCTGTCGAAGCATACTTTTCAGTGACGAGAGTACTTAATGATTTAATTCACGAAACATAATAGTTCGTTTGAGTAGTGCTGCTGTGCAATACTTATTCAACAAGACCTAAACAAATCAGGCCACGAGTTGGGCGATTCACGTGTGTAAAGTGTGCACTTGACTCCGTCTGCTTTCTCCATCACCTGTGCATAGAGCGTCATGATCGATTCTTGTACATGCATGATTCGAGGGCCGGGAAATCGCGGGGCGATGCCGCGCAGCTGTTCATGACGAATCATGTATGTTTCATAGTGCGTGAACGCATCTCGACCTGTCATGATTCGAACAGCTAACAAGCGCGGGGCCTGAAAGTCGCGCGTGAATGCCTACACTTTGAATCATGAACAAACTCGTGGGAGTGGCTCGGAAGTTGACTACCTGCACGGACGAACATGAACTCTCATGGACGTGATGCCTGCAACATGATTCGTCGTCGAGGTTGACCCTAATTTGCGCGAAGGAACATGAACCGAGAATGGCCCCTTTATTGCGTGTCATTCGATGTGCGTATTTGTTGTGACGGTGTTGTGGAAAATTAAACACCCTCAATCTCTAATAAAATATGGCGTGCACAATGCCACCGGTATAATTAACACTCCTAACATTGACTACATGTTAACACGCAACTGTGGCGCCCAGAAAAACACCATAGCAACAAATCCGATCCCACAGCAGCCACGATACTTACAGCACGCACCCCATAACTCTGGTAAAAAAACAGCACTACGTTACATGGAGCATGAGATTTGCTACTATTGTCATTGTTCATAATTTCCTCAGGATCACCTCAGTAAGGTAGACACTGGCGTACCACTGACCAGGAGATGATGCTAGTCCAAAACACACCACTGACCATGATCTGATGAGCCCTTGAGCTCAAGGGCTGAATGCAAAACTCTGATTAAGGCTCCCAATCGCACACCACAGACCCCGAGGCGGGGTACTATGCGTACTCGGGACAACAAGTGAAAAAATAGTGTTTTACGAAAACTCGGTTGTACCATGTTACTCTCTGTAAGCAAGTGTCTTGCGCCGGGGTTGTGGAACACGGCATTATCAATTCTGTGAGACCTTAGACACCGTTTATGGCTCCTAAACCCGTGTTCATGGCCGTTGTCACTGTTTGAGTTGTTTCCTCTGCATTTCTACAACCGAAATAAAAAGTGTTGCAGACGCCGTTATAAAAAGCCACGATTTGTCACTGGTACCCGATCGTTATAGCTTATCGGGTCGCGCAGTCGGGGGGTGATAATTCGTGGCGGTGTGGCGTGCGGAACCACCACGCGTCATGAAAAATCGCGCATGACTATCGACGAGTTCATGATGGTCTGTGGTGTCATGATTGTAGGCCGTACTCCCATGTCACCACACATTGGGCCGGCTGGTGAGCTGGTGCGCTATCGTTTGGGTTTGTTGCCGCCATGTTGGGGTCTTTAGTGAACTCAGAAACAAGGCTGACAGCCAGCAGTTCAACATATTGTTAATGCTACAGTCCTACAAACCCCGCAAAGAGCAACAAAGGCCATAGTGCGAAAAACAGCATGGTGTTCATGAAAATCAGCTCCAAGGAAAAGAGATTACACGCCGATATGACGCATTGGATCATCGTCACACGTTCCTCAGCTGTTGGGCTCTGACACACTGAAGACGAGAACAGCAGGTTAATGTCTAAACCCTGGCTAGTGCGCACCCTGATGCATAACAACACCCCGCTTGGTCTAATCAATACCTGGCGGGTGGGTTGTCGCGTTGTTGCCCACATCCCCCTCGTCGCTCTCTGGCAACGACAGCGAGGCAAACGCCACCACATCGGCCTGCACAGGGGGGTTGGTCAATGTGGCTTGCGTAGAATGGGCTGGTGGGGCGGGAGTAACCCCCGCAGGCACAGGAGTTGTTGCGACGTGCATAGCAGTAGCTCCACCGGGAGGGGTGGGCTGTGCAGGTGCAAGAGCCACGGCAGGAGTGGCGATGCCTACATTCGCCGGGGCAAGTGTAGTTGGAGCAGCTGCGGGTGCGGTTGGCGCTGCTGCCACGACAGCGGGGGGTGTAGGGGCGGGGTTGGCACCACCGAGGGAAGCAAGCTCGACGCGCCACCTTTCCCACCGCCCCCAGACGCGTGCGGTAGTGAGCTGCCGCACGATGTCGGCCGTGCAGCCATCCAGCAGGTCCATCTCCTCGCCGGTGAGCTGCCACACACGACCCCGGGGAGGCTTGCTCCGCCTGAGCACGGCTGCAGCTGCAGCGAACGCGCGGGCCGCTTGCTGCTGGTCTTGGAAGTGGCCAAGAATCAGCGTCCTTGATGACCCGGGCTCAGGGACAATCTTCGCTTGCCAAGTTCCGTCTGGGAGGTGCCTAACACCCACGTACTCCCCCGATCCAACCACTCCCCCGACAGAGTGTGATGGCGGTGGCGGCGGGCCCATACACCCAGAGTGATCCTCCGAAGGGGCAGACAGAGCTCCACCGCGCGCACCGCAACGAGACGAGGTCAATGCATCGCCGGTCGTACCGGGCATAAGCCCGCTGATAACGCCGTGGGCCGCTTGAATCTGATGAGAATCCCCTTGCTGCTCGAGTTGCGCAGTCGGCGCCAGAATTTGCTGGGTGGCAGGGTCGTCGGTTCTCGCGCTGGGTCCGCCCTCTCCTCCAATACGCCCCTGCTGCGGCGGTGCTGGTAAGGCTGCAACTTGCGCAGACAACGCGGTGAGCTCGTCGCGGGTGGTGGACAAGTCGTTGGTGAGACTCTCCACCAGGAGCTCGAGCTTGGCGATGTCTTTCTCACAGTACCCCACGCGGCAGGTGATGTTGTGGATGTCGCCGACAGCATCACGCAGCTTCGCGTCGATTTCGGCCAGCTCCGGAGACACTGGCTTGTTCACGCGCTTGCTGAGCGGCGGATCTTGGTGGGGCACCATAACTCCAGACCTCTCCAGGGTTGGGATCAACCGCTTGAGTGCATGTTCGACTATGTCCGCACGCATCCCCCTCCGGAAAAGGCCATCACCATAGGGCAAGGCTGGCAGCCCATCGTCCAGATTAGCGAAGCCACGGGCAACCAGCTCAGATGCGTAGATGCAAACGTAGACACCACAGTCTACTTGGTTGGCCTGCATCGGGCACTGATAGTACTGCACACGCGAACACAAACAAGGTGAGCAACATTGATGGACGTTCCATGGATGAGGTCTGTTAAAAAAAAGCTGCGCGAAAGATTTGAGTGCTTACCCCAAGCGGGACGCAAGGCATCGGATCAAGCCGCTGCTTGATTGCGGTGGTAGAGAGGCCGGGCTCCTCGGCTTGTAGCGCCAGACCGAGCAGCCTGGACACAGCAACAATGCATGCATTAGTGCATTACAAGCGGCGAAGCAACCATGCGATCATAAGCACGACGAAACTTAGGAGGCGATGCATGCCCGTGCAACTTACGTTTGGATCTCGGCGAACACCGACGGAGCCATGTTCCGATGATCACCAGTCGAGTCGAACAGGTAGGCCACCGGAAGCTCCGTGTTCCCCGATTTTATAGCAGTTGTTCTTGCCCTGCCAGGCTCCTTGACAACAACAAGGCTGAAATGCCTTGGCTCACTGGCACAATACCAACGTAAATGTAAGTACACAGCATGGCGATGCCGCGGTACACGCGTACATCGAGATTGTGCATGCATGTCTTACAGTGTAGTAACAACTACAAGGACGTAGTTGTAGTCAAGGATGGTGCCGCCCTCGAATCCAGTGAAGAGAACCTGTTGATTCGCCGCCATCAGATACGCTCCAGTGTCAAGCGCAACCCATGTCTCCCCGCTTGGTGTTTTGGAATGCCTGATGCTCAGCAAACTGCGCGGGGTGAATACACAGACACGGAGAGCCGGTGTTAGGCGCCGGCAGTATAGTGTGAGTTTGCAATGACTAAGGTATCGCGAGTACAAGAAACAAACCACAAAGAGCACAAAGGTTGGATGATTGGTGATAGCTATCACAGAGGGAAAGGGTACGAGAGAGGGGAGCTGTGACGGTCGTGATGTGGCATGAAAGCTCATGTTCAGAGGTTGGCGGCGAGGATAAGTTTCATGAACGCAGGATTAGGTTCATGTACGCTGTCAAATCCGCCCTCGGCTATTGGTCAGAACTCATGCTCGAGCATGACCGTCGATTGGTCGCCTGGTTGTACATTACCGTACATGATCGGTATCGAGGTACCACTCCATGTAGTTGTTACACTACCTATAACGTTGGCGCGTCCAAACGGAGCCAGTGCATGTTACTCTGGCGCGCTGAACAAATCACCAATTTTTCGACCAATAAGAACAGCCACCCGTGGCGAAAGTGTGGCAGAACCCTGGAATTTGGAAATGGTGACTCTTTGTGAGTTTTACGCGAGAGCATGCGGCTGCCCGAATGACGGTGGGGAAAGGGCGGGAAAAGGGGGCTGGGGGGGCGGGGGGAAGGGAGGTCCATTCAATTTAGAGAAACGCCCACGTGGCGAGCGGTGAGCAATTTAGGTCGACTCAATTGAGACAAACACGATTTTCGCCGATGCGCGCGATTTCGCCTTCTTCATCACATGTTCGAGAACCGCGCGGGTTGAACGGGACCTTGTGATTGGCGGAGAGAAATCACGGAGCACCTTGGGATTGGATGTTGCGGGCTGTGGCTGGCATCAGACCACTGGGCATGCTGCTCGTGTGGGCTGGTTTGCGGGGCGGGGAGGGAAAGGGCGAGAGTGTGGGGGAGGGGGGAAGAGGGGAAGATTACGGGAGGAATGAACAAGAGGCGCGAGGGTCAGGGGGAGGAGGGCGAGGAGAGGCGGAAACGAGAGTGAGGGTTGCGCACCTCGAACAGTCGAATGGGGCAGTGAAGAATCCGCTCAATTGAAGAATGCGCTCAAGTGAAGAATGCAGAACGGGACAGAGCGGTTCAGTAGGTTAAATCTAGCAGGAAGAGGTTTACAATCAGATGACGTGACACCACATGGAAGATAATGGGAAGGGATGCTCCATGGGGGGAGAGGGGTGGTGGTGGTGAGTGGACGACGAGCAGCTTGTAAATAGCTGAAGGCTGTAAGCAGTCCACCTGAGACATCGCATTTCACGCCGCCTGTCGACGACTGGAGTATGCACGACTCCATTTCCTGAAACCCCTCGTTGATTATCTGGTCTTCTTTGGGTGATTCTCTTGAGTCCTGTTGGTGCTGGTTCCGCAGTCCCTACTATTTCCGCGCCGCCGTAGTAATCGTCATCGTTGTAGAATTCCGCGGTGCTGTTTATTTTCGCCGTCCACGTTGCCAATTCTCAGAGGGAGGAAACGAACTCGGTGTGCCGGCGAGTCGTCGGACATCGCGTCGATTTTTTTATCGCATCTTCTTGACTCCGTTGAGAACCGATTCTGCAGGCAAATTCCAGAAACAGCTGGACGACTTACCTTGTTGGTCACTGACCGTTTCTCAGCTTGATTTGCGAATCACAAAAAAAATCGTTAGAGCCATGGCCGAATGACCCTTCCTGTCAATTACTCCTGCTTCTCCGGTCGTCCATGGCCCGAAGCTGCTTCAGCGGCCACTCCTGCCACGAATTGACACGTGTTTGCTCCAGCTGCCAATCTACGCTTCGTTCTCGAAATCAGGTACTTGCCTATTCGTCGACAAGCGTCGCTGAGCCGTTACATAACTCTAAAACGTAGTTATTCGCTAAGCGTCGCTGCGTACTCGATAGATTGCGTTCAATTTTGGGGGCAGAAACATCAAGGCGACTCATTTCTCTACTGGCGGCTCGTCGAGTTTGCATTCAACCTTCATATCGTCTTGATTGTGGTCGTGAATTAGGCAGAGCCATTTCAGTATTTTCTTGAACAGCATCGTTAGCGGAAACGCCGCAGCTTGATGAGCGCGAACGATGGTCTAACGGCGGTTGCCGTGACGAAGTATCTGAAGTCGCGCTATTGCTGCTGCTGTGTGTGAGTGAGCTCCGCAACCAGAGATTCAAGCAATCGTTTTTTGAATTCGAGAGTGAGCAAAAACCATTTAACAAGTGACTGACTTCTCCACTGCGGTTGCGTGTGCGTGAGCATCGCACTGCGCTCCGAGGTGGTACCCTCGAGCACGAACGGAGAACTCCCAAACGGGACTGCTGTGCGTGATTGAGCTTTCCCCCCTGCGCGATTTCTTTTCTGTAGTACCTGGTAGCACGGTAGTGGCTCCGTGTGTGTAATGAGTCGTGTTTTGAGTCGGCTCAAAACACGTAGCACGGTACCAATTACCAAGACACTGTTTCCCGCACTTGTTTCCCAGGAGATTTACCAGTAGCGTTTGTTTCCCGCCAACTCCTTCGTCCGCAGGTGTGCCGGCCTGGCGTGACGTCTAGCAGTCAATCGGGTCTCATTCAGCTGGTCTGCCGTTTGGATCCGCTCGTCAAATTCACGTCCTCGCTGTCTACGACCCATTTGAGAAACTCAAGAGAGCATTCCGGCAAGCAAGTAGTTTCGAAGTCCGTGAAGGCAGCACGGTCAGAAAGAGGGCCGCCAGCACCGCCACCACCACCAGCACCGCCACCACCACCAGCACCGCCACCACCACCAGCACCACCGCCTCAAACAGTAGTAGCAGCAGCAGCAGCAGCAGCATCTGCTCGTGCGACGTCAGCAGGGGGAACACTGCTGCTTGCGGCATCGGCGGCGCTCACAGCAGCGGCAGCAACTCCAGCGGCAGCGCTGGCAGCGATTCAACCGGAAGCATCCCAATTGGGCGCGTTACAAGTGGGACACACGGCTGCAGACACAGTTGGTGCAGCCGTGACTGGAGCCGCAGCAGCAGCAGCAGCAGCAGCAGCAGCAGCAGCAGCAGCAGCAGCTGACACTTTGGCAGCCGCAACCCCACACACAACAACAGCAGCAGAATCGGTTATGGCGTCCATTACGTCTGTGCTGGCAGGCCTTCCGTCCATGGGGTTTGGCATCGGGCTGTCGCCTCAAGTCGGCATCGCCCTCGCTCTCACTCTCGTGGGCAGCCTGAGCACGGCTCTTGGTGAGTCGTTGGGTTCTCTCACCCTCCGTAACATTGTAAACTCTTCATTCGAGGCACCACCAAGCTTTGATGTGTATTTTGAGGCGCCTCAAAATACCACCAAGCTGTCGCCTCGATTTGGCATCGCTTGCACGACCAATCTCCTTGGGAGTTGAGGACGGGAATTGTTCATAACGAGATTGTTCGCACGAGATTGGGAGTTCCCCTGCGGAAACCCCCATCCTTGAATCCCCTGCCCACCCATCTCCTTCAATCTCCTGCCATATCCTCTTCTCACCTCCCACCTCCTCTCACCTCTTCCCACCTCCTCTCACCTCCTGTCACCTCCTCTCACCTCCTGTCACCTCCTCACACCTCCCACCCCCTCCACCCCCTCCCACCCCGTCCCACCCCCTCCCACCTCTTCCCACCAGGCGGTGCTCTTGTGGTGCTGCAAGCCGTACCCGATATCAAGCGCCTTGGGCTCCTGCAGGTACCCTGCAGCCTACCCTTCTGCACCCCACCTCACCGTACCTTACTTTACCTCACCTCACCTCACCTCACCTCACCTCACCCCACCTCACCCCACCTCACCGCTCCTCACCCCACCTCACCTCACCTCACCCCACCTTACCCCACCCCACCTCACCTCACCTCACCTCGCTCTTCACCCCATGCGGATTCTCATGCTCTTTCACTTCGTGCCCGTACCCCTTATGGTGATTTCAGTATCCCGTTTTCTCGCCCCTTCCCCCTCTTCCCCTCTCCCCCTCATTCTCCATCGGCTCAGACCTTTGCCGCCGGGCTCATGCTGAGCCTCACCTTCTTTGGTCTCGTGCAAAGCTGTTCTGCATTCCCTTCCCTTCCCCTCCATCTCCCCCCAACCATAAACCCACCCACCCCCTCCGTCCGTCTGTCGATGCAGGGCTTTGCCAGCGGGCTCATGCTGAGCCTCACCTTCTTCGATCTCGTGCCAGAAGCCATTGACACCATCGGCTTTCCTGCTGCCAACCTATGGGTACGTCCTCTGCTTGCTGGTCCAAAAACTGGGGCGTGTGGGTGGAGGTAAGGCTCCTTCGCTGCAGCTTCTTTGCCATTCTCTTTTCCTGTGATGCTCGCCTGGCAATCTCTCCCTTCCCATACACTCTCCTCTTTCTCTTCCCTCTTGTCCCCCATGCTCTCTCCTCTTCATTCTCCCTCTCTCCCCTCTCTTTCCTGATATCTTCCCCTCTGTCCCACACTTACTCGTGGTGCCTCTCAGTTCTTTGCAGGAGCGCTTTTATTTGCAACGGTTGTACACTTTGTTCCCGAGCCTTCCCTCGCGCCCGAGCCTTCTGTAGCTCCCGAACCATCGTCCGAACCTCTATTGCAATACTCATCCGACCCCGTATCCGAATCTACGCCCGAGCCTGCATCCCAACCTACGTCCGAACCATTCACGGAGAGGCAACGGACAGATCAACCTATTCAACCATCAGCTGTAGCACCAGCTGCAACAGCACCAGCAGGAGCAACAGCAGCAGCAGTACCACCAGCACCAGCAGCAGTAGCACTGACACCAACAGTGACACCACCACCACCAGACTCACCACCTCTTCTTATCCGAAAACAAACACTCGCTCGACTTAATTCCCCCTCCGCCTCCTCCTCCTCTTCCTTCTACCTCCCTTCCTCCCTCTCGTCCCTAGATCTCACCCAAGCCTTAGGCTCGGAAAGCCCTGATTCGGACCCGAACCGAGCCTCAGGTTTGCCAAGAGCTGGCTCGGCGGAGCACCCGAACCTGGTCCGAGGCTCAGGCTCGGACAGCGAGAGAGACAGTCGTGTGGAGCATTGGCTTAGTGGGATCAAAAGCAGCGAGTGGGATAGCCGTGATGGTGTGGGGAGTGGGAATACTGATGGTGCTCACGTGGGTGAGGGCGGAGGGAGAGGGGTGGAAGGGGAGGGGGGGGATAGACGGAGATTAAAGGGTGGGACGGTTGCAAGAGGAGCAAGGGATGGGAATAGGGAGAAGATGATATTTGATAGCTTTCAAATACCTCGTGGAGAGAATATGGAGCAGGGAAAGGGAGTGTGGAGTAGGGGGGAGAGGGAGCAGCGAGAGAGGGGGTTGGCAGGGAGGGAGGATCGAGATGGGGGGGTTGCGGAAAGGGAGGTGGGGGAGCGGGAGATGCAGAGGCGGCGGCAAGCAGTGCTGTGGAGTGGAGTGATCACAGCCTTGGGAATCAGCCTGCACAACTTCCCAGAAGGCATCGCTGTGTTTCTTGGCTCCATGAAGGTGAGGAGGAGTGGAGAGGTGTTGTGACTGGTGTATGAAGGTGGGGGGCAGTGCTGTGGAGTGGGGTGATCAAGGCTCTTGGAATCAGCCTGTATAATTTCCCTGAGGGCATCGCCGTGTTCCTGGGGTCCATGAAGGTGGGGAGGAGTGGAAAGGGGTACGGGGGTTACTGGAGGTACTAGTGTTAGGGGGATTTTGTGAGGTCAGGGGGAGAATTGGGTCGGATAGGAGATACTGGTGGTCTGGCTTCTGTAGTACCCTTTCTTCTCCCTCATCCTTCCACCCTTTTCAGGCCCTTCACTTCTTACCTCGTTTTCGATGCCCACCTGTTTCCCTCCTTATCCTCCCCCCTCTCCTCCCTTCAAGGCCTGCGAGTGGAATCATCCTAGCGGTGGCCACAGCGCTACACAACATCCCAGAGGGCCGCGCCATCGCCCTCCCCATCTGCTTGAACACATTCCCCCTTTGCTTCCCCTCACCCCGCTCCTCCTCCTCTCAGGGCCTAAGAGTGGGCATCAGCCTGGCAGTAGCAATCGCTTTACACAACATCCCAGAGGGCCTCGCAGTCGCCCTCCCCATCTACTTAACACGTTCCCCCTTTGCTTCCCATCTCCCCTCCTCCTCCTCCTCTCAGGGTCTGCGGGTGGGAATCAGCCTGGCAGTGGCCATCGCGCTACACAACATCCCAGAGGGCCTAGCAGTCGCCCTCCCTATCTACTTCGGCACGCGCAGCCGCTGGGCCGCCTTCCGAGCCGCGGCTCTTTCGGGGGCTGCAGAGCCCCTGGGGGTCATCTTCGTGGCTCTCTTCTTCCCGGCCTCGCTCGCCCCGGATATTATTGAAGGGCTGCTTGCTGGCGGTACGTGCTCTGCTCTCTCTCCTCCCCTTTTCGGGCAGCCTCTGGGCGGCCTTCCGAGCCGAGGCTCTTTCAGGGGCTGCGGAGCCCCTGGGGGTGGTCTTTGTGGCTCTCTTCTTCCTCGCCTCACTCGCCCCGGACCTCATTAAGGGACTTCTTGCTGGCGGTATGTGTTCTTCTCTTCTCCCCTTTTTGGGAAGCGGTTGGGTGGCCTTCCGAGCCGCGGCTCTATCGGGGGCTGCGGAGCCCCTGGGGGTCGTCTTTGTGGCCCTCTTCTTCCCGGCCTCCCTCGCCCCGGATATTATCGAAGGGCTGCTTGCCGGTGGTACGTCTCTGCTCTCTTTTGCAGTGCTGGTTTTCCCAGTTGTGCTGTCTGTGCTGGCATGGTGCTTGTGCTGCCTCTTTCACTCTGCTCCCAATGACTGTGCTGGCTTGTGCGTCCGCTCCATCCCTCCCCATCCCACTCCATTTCTCTGCACCGCTCTGCATTCCTCTGCATCTCTGTGCATGCAGTGGGCGACATCACGGTGGTCCTCTGGTTGCATGAGATGCCTCTCCTTGTGCTGCCAGTGCTGTTCACACCGAGCTAAGACCTCCTCTGTCGGATATTTGTACATGTCTCTGCATCCCTGTGCATGCAGTGGGTGGCATCATGGCGTTCCTAGTGCTGCACGAGATGCTGCCTCTCGCCTTTGAGTACGCGGGCCATCGCAGGGCAGTGCAGGCCATGTTCCTGGGCATGGCGGTCATGTCCGCCAACCTGCACCTCCTCGCACTCTCTCTCCCGCCAGACATTTCGCTGTGACCAGCTATAGACCCCCTTGTGGCCCACCCTGGAACACCCCCTGTGACCAGCCACTGATCTCTGCGTGGTCATTTTCTACCCCAAGCTTCCAGGGGCCACCGTTGCATGGCAGTGCTTTATCTAGAGCACCATAGAAAGCCATCCCATGGGCCATTGCAGTTTCTTGGGCAAAGCCATCGCAGGGCGTGCTGGCCATGTTTCTGGCCATGGCTGTCATGTCTGCCAATCTGCACATCCTCGCACCTTCCCTCCCGCCGGATATCTCCCTGTGACCAGCCAGGTCATCTCGCCGTCACTCCTACCCACCCTCTTGCGGGCTCATCCACTCTCACTCTTGCTCCCACTGTCCTTGTCGATTGGGAGTATGCTGGCCACCGCAAGGCAGTCACGGCAGCCAATTCACACTTCCTTGGCCTCTCCATACCTCCGCACGTCATTTTATGATGCTACACATGTGTCCAGGCAATCATGCGACTGCTAATCATATGCTGTGGGCGCCATGATTGCCGTGCATGATGACTGTTGGATTGCGACTAACACTGGAGCACATTCACTGCGCAAAACTCGCATCCTTGTAATATAGCATGTAATACATGTTCGAAACAATTGGTCCTGCCGGTAAGCGCCTCTGTCGTGTCGAAACACTAAGGCACATGCGAAGCAGAGCATATCGAGGAACCAGCGAGTCAACCCTTGGAGGTTGAAGTAACCGCTGGAGGTTACGCAAAAGTCAAAGGTCAGTGACCTTTGACCTGACGAGTACAGCGCGACAGCAAGGACACACAACTGACTCGTTACAGAGCAGTTGCCCGAGTCGTCACTGTATCGAACCGCAACAGCAACAGTAAAGTAGTTATAACTGTGTCTTTTCATATTCCCTGTATTCATATATAATCTTGTATCTCCTTGTTTTAATCAACTTACTTTGCCCTCACATACTAGCGCAAGGTGGTTCACAACTCCTTATTAACGCTTCCGCTACTACACCAACTCTACCCAGAGTTCACCCCTGCAAAGATCCTAAGGGCTTTTTCAGCCCAACAATACATTTGCATGGTAATTATAGTACTGCACAACCATCGTCATGTCATTGTGCTAGATCTGCCTATTTTCGTATTCGTGATGAACCAGGAAGGTATTGCTGTGTTGGGGGGTGTAGTTGCGCACATCCTTTGGGCGGGGTGTGTCGTGAAACTAACACAATAGGTAGTTAGGAGAATAGTTCGGCTTAGGCTTAGTAGCCTAGGCCAAGGAAGATCGAGTTGGTTGTGCCAAGGGTGTCGAGAGAATTTCGGGAAGAATGTGGTGTTCACTATAGATTTGCAATCACATATATGCAAGTGAACAAAGGTGCACCACCTAACACAGTTTGTAATAACTACACTAGCTACAGCTACAGGCAGTTGCAGATATAAACTCTGACACTCCCCCATAACTGCCTGCAGCAGGAGTTTGTGCAGAACACAACCTGCAGGGGTACACAAATAGCAGCAGCAGCAGGTAGGTAGGTAGGTAGGTAGTACAGCAGCAAAGGTACAGCAAGAATTCCTGCTATCTCCTCACCCTCCCCCTCCCCCTCCCCCCCACACTGCTGCAGAAGCAGCACAGGGGGGAAGAGAGGAGAGGTGGAGGGACGGCTGCTGGATGGTCTCACACCCGCCACCCCAGTGCCACTCCCCCAGCTCCCCCACACCCTCACACCCTCCCCCCAGCGGCAGCTGCAGCAGCGGGAAAGAAAGGAGGAGGAGGAGGGGAAGGGAAGTTGGTCTCACACCCGCCATCCCAATGCGACTCCCCCAGCTCCCCCACACCCTCACACCCTCTCCCCAGCGGCAGCTGCAGCAGTGGGAAAGAAAGGAGGAGGGGAAGGGAAGCATATCACCCATCACCCCAACACCCGCCACCCCCATACCCTCCCCCCCACGGCTGCAGGGAAACGAAGGAGGAGGGGGTGGGCGGGGAGAAAGCCGCAGAGCGGCTACTGATGGTTGGCGCGGGTAGGTCAGGGGCGGCTTCAGGGAGTGTAGGTGCGGGGTGAGGTAGTGGCGGCTGCACCGAGTGCAGGAGCGAGGGCGACTGCTCCAAGGGCAGGCGCCGGGTGATGCAGGGGCGGCTGCAGCAAGTGCAGGCGCGAGTGAGACACCGCCGAGTGCGCCAGGGGCGGGTACACGGCGACTCAGGTAGGTAGGTAGGTAGTGCACCGTCGCACACCACGGGGCGCACGACGGGCAGGGCACCGTCGCGTGCCATGGGGCGTACGACGGGCAGGGCACCGTCGTGTGCCACGGGGCACGCGACGGGCAGTTCAGGTAGGTAGGTAGTTTAGTTCCCCGTCGCACGCCACGGGGCACACGACGGGCAGGGTAGATGTCACTCGCCATCCTAGGGCGGGACATTAATGAGAAATCGCCACGCGACCTAGGCGCGCGACCGGCAAAGAACAGCAGCAGAAGCATACGGCGGGCCCACAGGCCAGGACGAAACTTGCTCTGATAGCATGTCGTGAAACTAACACAATAGGTAGTTAGGAGAATAGTTCGGCCTAGGCTTAGTAGCCTAGGCCAAGGAGGATCGAGTTGGTTGTGCCAAGGGTGTCGAGAGAATTTCGGGAAGAATGTGGTGTTTACTATAGATTTGCAATCACATATATGCAAGTGAACAAAGGTGCACCACCTAACACAGTTTGTAATAACTACACTAACTACAGCTACAGGCAGTTACAGATATAAACTCTGACAGGGTGCATCATGCTGTTTTGCATGATCGCCCCCTGATCGCAACCCTCTTGAATCCGGTAAAGTTGGGCGGGGTTTTCAGTTGACAAAGCACGGTTTTCGAAACTGCAAGCCAAATGCGCATTTCCATCGCTTCTGGGGCAGGGTTACTGCCCAGTTTCCGATTACAGCGCAGATTTAGTGCGATTTCTACGCAGCTCGACGCTCATTGGTCGAAATCTTCGAAAACGACAAGCCTAGTGTGTAAGAGAAAACAGTTTAACCCAGTCATGTGTTAAACATTTTTCAAGCCCATATAGAGAGAGCATCAATCCTGAACACCCATTCGCATAGTGTTTAGGGTATATGCCTCCTCTGAGAAACTGAACGAGAATGAAGAAGAGAGGAGGTTCACTAGCAAGCAGTTGAGTACATATAGGAAACCCTAAGTTGGGCTGTACTCACTATTGAGTACCCCACTGCAGGCTAGACAAACATAACATTCTGACATCCTCCATCGATGGCGGAAATATATATATATACATATATATATGTATATATGAAACCTGTCGCAAAGGGCATCAGCCAGTCCTCAGATATCAGGAAAAAAACCCTGAAATTCCTGATTTCAACAGTCCTTTTTTTACCTACCCTTAAAAGTCAGTGTTGAGATTTTTGAGGGACTGAAATTTCAGACTTTTCTTATTAGGCCACACTGAAATTTCAGACTTTTTCCCCTAGGACACTGATGCCACAACGTTGTAACGAAACCAACACTGAAGCGATTCTTACCCGTGCCATGTGGATTTGACCGCAATTACAGGGAATCTCAGATTCTCGAGGTGTAAGCACCCCGTGGCGAGGCCAACCTGTGAAATTCTGCCTCTGGTTCACGTTCAGAGGTATTTTGTTGGCGCGGCGCCTCACACCATCGGGCCATTTCGCTGCAGCAGTCAGTCTTGGCCAATCCGAACGTGGCCACCATGTGGTGCTGGAGGGCTGCCAAGGATCCTGCCCCGCTGCCATCACATGCGACGCGTTAGTGACAGCCTTTTTACTAGTGCTACACTGATGCATCAGACTTTTTACAAACACAACACTGACATTTCAGCCTCTTTTTTTTGGAACACTGTCAATCAGAGTTTACACACAGGGGGACCCTGATAGGTTGATGACCCTAAAAGTGAATCAAAGGGCTTGGCATCAACCCGAAACACTTTCGCCCAATGTTTAGGGTTGATGCACCCTAAACAATTCCGCCCAGTGTGCCAATACAACAAAGGATCCAGTAGATGGAATAGGATCTGTTTAGTCTGAGAGGAGACAAAGAAGTTTTTGTAGTGACCTTTTTGAATAATAATTGAAAGAGAACAAGATGATTGAAAGATAGGAGTACAAGAGATTAAATAGAAATCTAGCTAGCCATGTACTCTGAGGGGTACATTCCCTTATTAACTGTATTGCATAGCTACAGTAATCGCGACTATTGCTATCCTCGACAGTTACCATGTTGCAGTGAATTAACTGTCGCGCGGTTACTGGATCGTCAAAGGTCACGACCGTTGACTTCCTCAGACGGTTGACCTTCGGGTGACCCTTGACATTCCGCATGCTCTATATAAGCTATTGCGGTACTGGTACAGTGGAGTAGCTTCGGGAATGCTTTATATAACCTTTTGGTTGTTTCAACACTCCCCTTCATTCCTGAAGGTGGGCCCCGTGGGATTTCTTGGTGATCCCGCAGAGGTCGGCGCAGTGTTGGTACTGCTGACGTGGCTGCTTCTTGTCAAAATGTAATTGTATGCATTACTATAACTGCCTGTAGTGTAAACCTAGTGTAGTTATATCGCTTTCATGTTAGGTGGTGCACCCTTTTCCTTCACGATATTTTGTACAAAATTCCATAGTCAAACCCCTTCATTCTCTCGACTCTTTTTCTTCCTACTCAACTCACTCGAACTCAACCTCTACTACCTCACTAGCTATGGCTTCTAAGCCTGTCAGAACATTATAGCTTACTTATTTGTGTAGGCTATAGTGGGGTATCCCATAGGGGGTACAACCCAATTAGGGTTTCATATTTGTACTCACTTCATTCATACTTCATTCATTCTCGTTCACTTCTTCTCATGGTATCGAGCAGGTTCCCCTGTGGGACCTGTGCTTAGGGCCCACCACCTCGAAACGTCTTTTTTTTTCTGCCCTAATCGCTAGCGCACCGCCCGCCCTCGAATGTGAGCGCCGCCCCTAGCGCCCCTAGCGCCCGTCCGCTGCCTGCTCTAGCGC